TCCTGCAGCATTTAGCTCAGAGTTGGGTTTCTTAATTTCCCAAGGTCCAAACTGCTTGAGTCTTTAGGGTCAGTTTCAGTGCACAGAAGTTACCTGGTGAGGTTCAAATATAATGGTCATACTGCTGAGTTTTATGATGGTTGTCAATTTTTTGGTGTTCCCCTTCCAAAGACTTGGAGCATGGTTTCTTCTACTGTTGGTGTTATTACTTTGTGTAGCTCTGAAAGTGCTTTTGACTCTCTAATCCCTGGGCTTCCTCAGCTGCCAAAATTTCCTATAAAACTTACTTACCTGCTCTTGTACAGGCGTACTTGGCTTTCAAAGAAAAAAATATAGTTTTGACCCTCTGGTTGCAAAGGGAACTAGCTGTACAAGCTGAGCGTCTTTGGGAAGAAACAGCACAATGATGGATTAAGGTTTTGAGATGATGAAGAAAAGGGAAGGAAGATATTAAAGATAGAGTTGCTTGCCTTGTTGGGCCTGTAGGGAACTTCAGGAAAGAGATGATGTTGTTTTGGGGAGGGATGACAGTGGAAAGGACATTTTTGGGAGAGGGGAATGCAGAGGAACTGAAGGTGTTGATTCTCTATCCCCGTTCTTTTGAACCAAGTGCAAAGCTGAAAGCCAGCCTGACAGCATCTCTTTTTCCTTGTTGGTTTTTTTTTTTTTTTCCAGGTCCTTGGCAATTGGTCACCAGTATTCCTCCCTGGGGACTCAGCCCATCCTCTGTGGGAGCATCCCGGGACTGGTACCCAAGCAGCTACGCTTCTGTCGGAACTATGTGGAGATCATGCCCAGCGTAGCAGAAGGGGTGAAGATTGGGATCCAGGAGTGCCAACACCAATTTCGAGGGAGAAGGTGGAACTGCACAACCGTTAATGACAGCTTAGCCATCTTCGGGCCCGTGCTAGATAAAGGTGAGCGCAGTGCTATGGGTTTGCCAACAGCAACATCTATGGTGGAGTAGCAGCAGAGATCTTGAGAAACATACTGTGAACTCATTTGCTTGTGATAAAGTGCCATCTAAAAATGGGCTGCTGGAGACAGGACTTGAGCTTGATAAAGGAGACAAGCGACACAGGCAGGGAAAATTTTTTTGGCCCAGGACCTCATCCAAGCAGTTCAAACCTGACCCAGTAGGTCTTTTGTAGACAGAAGAAGATAATTACAGCCTTGTCATAGGGATAGCAAGTAAATCTGTGCCTCCCCAACATAAGGAGTGTGGTTACCCACCACCTCCGTTGTACAGCCAACATCCAGTCACAGGTAACCACTATTTCTACCTCAAACCTCATTGGGATTGTATAGGTGACCCAGAAAACTGGGAAGTGCCCCATTCGGCAGCGCACAGAAAGTGGGGTCATCTGTGACCCTGCTTGGAGTAGGAGGTTGGACCAGAGACCTCCCAGGGTACCTTTCAACATGAATTATCCTATGATCCTATGCCCCTTGGAAGGAACACAAAGGATTATTGTGTTTTCAGTGGTCAAGCTGGATGTCTGGCTCCTTTTCTGATCACATGGAATTTCATGCCGCATTTTCAGCTCTCTCGATGATTGCAGAGGGGAAATGATGAACTGTTGGGAATGGTTCCTAGGGGCTGGACTTATCGGATACCATCAGTTTTGATACTGTAATGGGATACCATGAAGATCAAAGGCCTGAGGAAATTGCCATCAGTTAATGGTTCAGCTTTCATTGGTTATGAATGTGGCAAATTAAGACAAGGCGTTAATTCCAGCAACTGATTCTGACACAGCACCCATCGATATAAGTGAGGGCTCTTAGAAATGTTTTGCCCTAAGTTGTTGAATGCAGTGGGATTTAAGCACTTGTCTAACTCTGAGTATCTGGTCTTTTCCCCTATAAGTTGGCAGGAGCCTATTTTAGCCTGTAAGAACTGTTTTATCCTTCTTTGCCCTTGTAGCCTGCCTTTTAAAGTCCAGCCTGCTGCTGCTGGTCTCAGTAAGTCTGGGTCAAGCTCCGCCTTTCCCTTTAGCACAAAGGGGTTCATCCAAGAGGCAGACTTGCTTTGCATTTGGTTCCTGCCCAGGTGGTAAGTCCAGGTGCCCTGTGCAGAGCTGTGCAGGAATATGGCTGTTTTCTCTTAGGAGAGGACCAGCAGAAGAGGCTTGGAAATCCTCTTTTCTTGACAGTTCCCGACAGTTTGGGAGTTGGAATTACTTTGTCTGGAATAGCAGAGTAGCACCATTTGAACTCGTATGAGGAGACGAGGGAGCATCTGGGATAGTTTCAGGGTATCTCCTGAATTGGTGTATGTAGCTGATCTAAAGCCACCTTTGGGGCACGTTCGTCCAGTGCTTGCCATCTGGAGATGGGGGGGGTTTGTTTGGTTTTCCCCTGCTGCATTACTCAGAAGAGACTTGAGCAATTCCCCTTGCATGAAGTTTGAAAAACAGGGCAACCAAGAAACAGCAAAGCCTTGGTTTGTATCATGGCAGGGCCTCCACCAGCCAGAACAGGCATTTCACGTTCACCCAGCAGGAGAAGGGGTGGTTTCACCTGGCGGGGTTACCCCATTAGAGCTGGGGAGCTGAGGAACTGTATTAATGATGGTGTCACTACTTGGGTTTAGGGGTGAGAGGTCACCCCAAAATAATTCCACCTGTAAGATCGCCAGTGTGGTGCACTTAAGCCCCTATCAAAGTGTCATACCACAACATTTTGCATGCAATTAAAAAGTCCATTCTGGGTACATCACTCCTGGGTGACTATAGCAGTTGAATTAGGCCAGCACAGCCAAACTGAATATTTTTCTCATAGGCACAATCCCAGTGTGATTTGCCCAAGAGCATTCACTGGGCACAGGCAGTAAGTGAACCAGGCAACCCAATGCCTTTGCCTGGTCACAAGGCTGGATGTCCTTAAGGACACATGGAGCGCCTTGCGCTCCCAGATGCTCTCGGATTAGATGCTCCACATCTCCTGTAGCAATTACACCCTGTGCACAAGGAAAGCTACTCTCACCTCCTCACTGACCGAAGGAGCCCCAATCCCACAAGCCGCCAAACACTCTTGTCTCACAACGGTGTCGACACGAAGGGTCTGTCCCTGCTTGAGACTGCAGGCTTTTGGTAGCCAGGCTCAGGGAGGGAAAGAAGGCTGGGACGATTTCATAACTGAAGAATGTTGTTCCTTGAGGGAGAATCAAACCACCCTTCAGTTTTGCTTCACCTACAGCAGAAGGGGGGAGAAGAAAAACAGCTCAGTCGCATTCTTGTGCGGCAGATCCCCCAGGGTAGGAACATATTTGAGCTCCTACCCAGAAAGAGAGAAGGAGAAAAGGAGACAAAGAAAGAAAGCAAGCAAAACTGTACTTTGCAGCTTAATTTTTAAGTCACCCAAGATCTAACTGGAGCTTCTCATCTGAGTCAATAGGGACCCCATCCTCCTTCAGCACAAACCAGCGTAGTCACTAAAGCAACTCCCTTTTGCCTTACATGACTATCTGCAATTCTTTCATTGAAAAGGGCTGATTTTAATGCCTTCAGGAAATACTTTCTAGGCCCAGATCTCACTGAGGCTGCCTCACTGTCTGGGCTGCCCTTGCTGCTTTGGTATCTCATTGCTAATTCAGGGCTAGGCTTGAGCTGTGATTCAGCGGTGCCAAACTGTCACCAGACTCTGGTCCCATTAAGAGCCATATTCTAATATTTCATCTAAAATCGGACTCTTTTTCCCCATCAGTCTGTTTATGGAAAGAAATCCCACATGTTTTAACTACAATTATATTTATGTATATACATTTTTTTTACATTTCCATAGCCAAGCCTAATGAATCACATATTAAACAGCAATGGTATTCATGAGCCCAAGGGAATGGTGATGTTCAGGGGGTCCAGACCTGCTGCTATTTCAAGGCAATACTTGACAGGCTTGGCCCTATGTCCCTCTAGCTCTTCATATGTCACTGAGGACATATGAAGAGCAGAAGTCCCCCATCCCATCCAGCTATTCGATTACTCAGTTTTGCCTGTCCTTGGCTGTGGACTAAATGTTCCTTATTCAAAAGGAAGAATCACTTTCCTTGCTGTGCTGTGGTACCTGCGTGGGGAATGATTCAGGCATTAGCAGGAGGTGAAATTGCTACGGGGCTATTGGAAGAGGGTTTTTCTCCTTTTTGGTCTTGGGAGCATATAAGCAGCTGTGCAGCTCCATGGAGAAACATTCAGATAGGTGCCACTGTTGAGTATTTCTTGCAAAGGGCTAGGAAATTAGGAAATAGGTGACTCAGGTACCCTAAGCTATCGGGAATGCAAAGAACAGGATGCCTTTAGAGGAAAAGAAGTGAGCCTGATGTCTTTCGCTCTATATAAACCTCCCTGTCTGTCTCTCAGTCATATATAAGAGGCTAGAGTTAATGTAATTTCTAGTTTCCCAGAAGTTCAAATTTCAACTACTGGACAGCAGAAAGAACTCCTCACTTGAACTTTTCTAACAGAGTAATTTCTAGAGGAAAAAATCTGTTCTCATTTATTTCTTTGGGACTGATACGGTTACATCACCTGTATTGTGTGAAGCAGTGGAGCAGAACATGGCAATAGCCACATGACCTTAAATGATCACCTTAGCCACAGCTCATGCCCAGCCACTTACCTGAGAGGTCTGGCAGTTTGTAAGGCAGTTGCCACATCTTGCAGTTTCCCAAGAACAAGGGAAAATTTTTGCGTTGCCTTTAAAAATATACAGGATAAAACTTTGGAGGATGTAGTAGAGGGACATGCCATCACTGGCAACAGAAAATGAACCGTGCAACCTAACAGGCATCTTCCGTCTCAAACTTAAGTGGCATTTACTGGGAATTGTGTCTTTCTCCCTGTTTTTAACATTTATGGACAGGAGATGCTGTTCATGTCTAAGCTGTGGTGCATTTCCTAGTCTCTCAACACTGTGCGAGCTCTCTTTGAAACTCCTCTGGGCAGAAATATGAACTGATCTCAAGAGAAGTAATACAATAAAAGCTTATCATGGCCCTGTCTCTTTAAAGGACCTCAGCACATAATTAAGTCAAAATAAAAGTTTCCTCCCTCTCCTCCCCCCATTCAATAAAAGTAAATTACCTCAAACTATTTAAACCCCCAGTTCGTTTAAATTTAAAAAGGGAGCCCTTGTCTATCTATTTCTTTCACTCACTCCCACCTCCTTCTGCTAAAGACTGGCTGGGGCTTTAAACCTGCCAGCTGGACTGAGAAATGGTTAATAGTTATTGTGGAGGAGCAGCTTTTAATGAACTATTGAAGAATGATACATTGATGGAGTAATGGGAGTTTAAGTCGCTCTGTAATGAAACAGGTTCTCAGCGCAGACCCATTGTGGTGTAAATACGGCACGTCTCTCCCACTGTTTGGTCAGGACTAAATAGCAGAGGCCAGAGGGGGGTCAGCTTATGGGGTCTTCGCTTTAGTTAATCAATCTGATTGGATTAGGGTCACTGCGATCCCTAATAATGTCAAAGGTTACGCCAAACTGGATTAAATGCTTTGTTGGAGAGGGCTCAGATTCTTTCAGCTTTCACCGATGGGGCTTGTTTATTAGAGTTTAACACTCGTGCAACCTTGGGAAGCCACACCGTCCCTTTTTGTACGTCGGGACGTTTGCCGGCGTGCGAGAGGGTTTGAACGAGCCGGGGCGGGTGCGCGCATGTCCCGTTGCTTTGTCAAGTGTCTGTGCCCGTCGGATGTGCCCTTTGAGGACATATATCAAATTCCCCACCGGACAAATGAGAGCCTAATGGGTGATGCAGAGGCTCGGAGGCATAAATTCATTCCGGAAATAATTGTTGGCCGTCGACCCTGCTAGAAGGCAAATGACAAGAGCCACAAAAGCGGTGGAGTGACCCACTGTTCGTGCCCCCCTGGGTTAACCCTGTTCTTGTCCAGCAAAGAGATGTTCTTTT